GGACCTCATGAATCGCATATGCAGACCGATGTTGGATCGGTCTGTGATAGTCTTTATCGATGATATCTTGGTTTATTCCAAGACTCGGGAGGAACACGAGGAGCATCTGAGAGAGGTATTGGAGACCTTGAGGAGGGAGAGCTTGTATGCCAAGTTCTCCAAATGTGAGTTTTGGTTGCGCGAGGTGCAATTTCTTGGACACCTCGTCAACCAGAACAGGATTCTGGTTGATCCGGCCAAGGTCGAGGCCGTGATGAGATGGGAGGTCCCGAAGTCTCCATCTGAGATTCGGAGTTTCCTAGGATTGGCGGGCTACTATCGGAGATTTATCCAGGATTTCTCCAAGATAGCCGTACCCCTGACACGGCTGACGAAGAAAGCCGTGGTCTTTCGGTGGGGACCCGAGCAGCAGGCTGCATTTGAGACGCTGAGACGGAGATTATGTGAGGCGTCGATCTTAGCCCTGCCAGAGGGCGTAGAGGATTTTGTGGTCTATTGTGATGCGTCCGTTTCTGGGTTGGGCGCGGTACTGATGCAGAGGGGGCATGTCATTGCCTACGCTTCGAGGCAGCTCAAGCCTCACGAGGCGAACTACCCGACGCACGATTTGGAGTTGGGGGCGGTGGTCTTTGCTCTCAAGATTTAGCGACATTACCTCTACGGGGTTCGGTGTACCGTCTACACGGACCACAAGAGTTTGAGGTACCTTATGGACCAGCCGAATCTGAACATGAGGCAGCGTCGGTGGTTGGATGTGGTGAAGGATTATGATTGCGAGATCCTTTACAACCCGGGGAAGGCCAATGTGGTGGCCGATGTGCTTAGCCGCAAGGCGGCGCCGATCAGGGACGTCTGCTTGAGGATGACCGTGGTGACTCCCCTGTTGGAGCAGATTCGGGAGGCTCAACAGGAGGCTATCAAGGAGGAGCATCGGAAGAGCGAGCACGTGGTGGGTCAGGTTTCCTCCTTTGATTATGATAGCCGAGGACTATTGACACTACACCGTAGGGTGTGGGTGCCGTATCATGGAGGCGTGAGCCAGATTTTGATGGAGGAGGCGCACAAGTCCCGATTCTCTATTCATCCCGGGGCGACGAAGATGTATAGGGATCTTCGTCTGGATTACTGGTGGCCCTGCATGAAGCGGGATGTGGCATGGTACGTCGAGCGATGTTTGACCTGCAGGAAGGTCAAGGCCGAACATCAGAGACCACATGGCAAGATGCAGCCGTTGGATATTTCACTGTGGAAATGGGAAGATATCACGATGAATTTTATCACGAAGCTTCCCAGGACCGCACGTGGAGTGGATTCGATTTGGGTCATCGTGGATAGATTGACCAAGAGTGCTCACTTTATTCCGATTCAGGAGAGCATATCGGCCAAGAAATTGGCCGACATCTATATCAGGGAGATTGTGGCACGGCATGGGGTCCCAGTATCGGTGATCTCGGACAGGGATGTGCGTTTTACTTACAGATTTTGGAAGAAATTCCATGACGATTTGGGCACTCGTCTGCATTGTAGCACCGCCTTTCACCTGCAGACGGATGGCCAGAGCGAGCAGACCATCCAGACTCTAGAGGATATGCTGCGGGCGTGCGTGCTAGACTTCGGTGGTAGCTGGGATACCTACTTCCCCTGGCCGAGTTCTCCTACAACAACAGCTACCACGCGAGTATCGACTGCCCTCCCTTCGAGATGCTTTACGGATGGAGGTGTAGGACCCCGATATGCTGGGGTGAAGTTGGCCAGAGGGTCATGGGGAGCACCGAAGTGGTGCTCAAGACGACCGAGAGGATCCAGCAGGTCCGAAGAAGACTTCAGACTACTTAGAATCGGCAGAAAAGTTATGCCGACAAGCGTCGATCCGATTTGGAGTTCCAAGTTGGGGATATGGTTCTCCTGAAGGTGTCACCTTGGAAATGCGTCATTCGATTCAAGAAGCGGGACAAGTTGGGTCCGCGATTCATCGGACCGTTCAGGGGTCGTAGTCCGGGTGGGAAAGGTGGCGTATAGGTTGGATCTGCCAGCCAAGCTCAGCCAGATCCACAACACTTTCCATGTTTCTCAGTTGCGGAAGTGCTTAGTGGACGATTCAGTGGTAGTGCCTTTGGAGGATATTCAGGTTGATGACAGCCTGAATAACATTGAGCGCCCAGTCGCAATCCTCGACAGGAAGTTGAAGGATTTGAGGAACAAGTGGGTGGAATTAGTGAAGGTGCAATGACAGCACCGCAAGGGTTCGGAATGGACTTGGGAGCCGATGGAAGAGATGATGGAGCATTACCCCGAGCTGTTTCTGGATCGAGCAGCAGACTTCGAGGACGAAGTCTAAAATAAGTAGGGGAGATTTGTAGCAACTGGTTTCTGGAGCGCACGATGAAGAGGAGGATGATTGATTGTTTGTTTTATTTTGTTTTGATTTGGTTTGTTTTTATTGTGTTATTTTGGGATTGTAAGAACCATGAAGATATTATGTTATTTTTATTGTTCTATTGTTGATATTTCTTAGAAATGGATAGGAGCGCCTAGAAAGGGTATCGAGATAGAAGTGCGTACGTCTTTAGCCGGGAGTGTTTAGAGTCGAGAGTCGAGACCCATATTTTAAAATAAGTGTGGGGTGAGTCGAGAGAGTGGTTAGTTAGCGAAAGTGTAGCACCTGGTTTCTGGTATGTAAATCTTATCCGAATATTTCCTATTTTAGCCTTGGACTCGGCGAGTCATAGGTCCGACTCGCCGAGTAGGGACGTGACCCTGGACACGTTTTAAGTTGGCGACTCGGCGAGTCCATATCCTGGACTCGGCGAGTTGCCGCTGTTGGATGAAACCATATGTTTTAGGGGTTTGCACCCTATTTAAACGACTTAACTGCCATAAGCCAGCCCTAATTCACCCTTAGAGCCCTGTATCCCCCGTTCTAAGCTGTTCCTTGAGAGTTGGAGGCTATTGTGTGTGTTTTTGAAGGTTTTGAAGGAAGAAGGAAGTAGATCCAGAAGAAGGGAAGCCATCCAGGCAATTATTGTGTTCTTCCAGCAGTTCCTTTGAGGTATAACCCGTTTTCCCCATGATTCTATGCTTAAAACTTCATTTGGGTCTTTCTTTGTCAAATCCCCAAGCTTGTATGTGGATTATATATCGTAATAAGATGTTTGGCCTTTGGATCTAGGCAAGATTGAGCTCCAGGAGCTCAGATCTGTGAGCTTTATGGCCCCATGTTGCTTGTTACCCTAGATATACCCTTTTAAGGCATTTTGAGCCCTAAAATCCATATTGGTGAATATCCACACGTAAAGTTGGAAACTTTACGTGTGATTTGTGTCCTAGAAGTCCAGATCTATGAATGCCATGAAGTGGAATCGAGCAAATCCATGTATTTAGTGGGTGCATGGAAACGAATCGGCGAGTCGTTCATATGACTCGGCGAGTCTGTTCGCGAGTCTCCGAGTTTGTCCCCTTTTCGTAATGTCGAGTGAGCAGTGAGTCACGGGGTGTGAATCAGTGACTCGGAAGCTTAACCCATCTATGGAAGTACTCGGCGAGTCAATGCCCTGACTCGGCGAGTTCAAGGCCAATCTCCTTAGATCAAGAACAGACTCGGCGAGTTGTTCATACAACTCGGCGAGTCTAAGCATGAGTGTTCATCGGATGAAGATGAACTCGACGAGTGTTCATACAACTCGGCGAGTAGGACGAAGAACTTTAATGTCAGTTTAGAAGAAGAACTCGTCGAGTCATAGCCTAACTCGACGAGTAGAATCAGGGACCCAGGACAATCGTCTGGACAGGGACTCGGCGAGTTGGAGAGCCAACTCGGCGAGTCGGGTCAACTGAAAGTTGACTCTAATTTGACTTAGGGCTAGACCAGGGGTAAAATGGTCTTTTTAACCAAAGGACAGTTAGCAGTGTGTGATTAAGTATATTGTAGGAATTACAGTCGGGGGGTTTCCGGAGCAGCAGCAACAGTAGTAGGTGATCAATTCCCACACAGACCAGCAGCTATTTCGAGGTGAGTTTCCTTTCCAGTAGGAACGGGTCTAAGGCACCAAGGCCTACCCGTGTAGACAAGATGCTAGTACTAGAGTATGGGCCGAGCCCGTATCTCTAGGTTAGGTCAAGTATGATATATGTGTTAATATGATAGAGTTGCTTATACTTGTTGTGTGCGTGATACTTGTATGTTATGGGATCGTATCTCTCCGAGGTTGGAGTGTGGGCTAGGCCCGTATCTTCCCGATTGCGATGTGTGGGCAGGGCCCGTATCTTCACACGTGTGGGCGAGGCCCGTATCTCCCGGCTAGCGAAGTGTAGGCAGAGCCCGTATCTTCCCGAGTGTGGGCAAGGCCCGTAACTCCTAGCTGAACATTGTTTGTTATATGTATGCATCGTATGGGGTATTATGGGGGAACTCACTAAGCTTTATGGTTACAGTTTCAGTTTTGGTTTCAGGTACCTCCTCAGCTAGGGGAAAGGAGTCGGCGCGGTAGCAGCATGTCACACACACACTCTCCGGTTTTCCGCATTTACGAGCTTTTCTGGGATTGATACTCTGATATTCTGATTGGTTGTATGTTTGGTTTTCAGACATGGTTCAGTTTATATTATGATTGATCAAACGATGTTTTAGTTATTAATATTTTCTAAAGTAACGTTTTTAAACAAAAAACTTTTGGATGTGAAAATTGGGTCGTTAC